CACACACACACACACACACACACCAGCATACACTACACTCGGTTAAAAAAACAAAGGACAATAGAACTTCAGACACTCCTAGATGACAGAGCAATCCCACATGGAAATTGCATTGTTCTAGAAAAGGAAGACAGGTAGGTAGACACAGTGTTGATGAAGTAACTGGCCTATAAAAAAGGATTAATTTGTGAACCTCACACCTGGACAAATGCAGTAACCTCCCAGCTGTGTTTTCTTTCCTTCATGAACAAACATCTGAAAGTTTCTCCACATTGCAGGAACTGGTTTAGGTGTTGGGTATTAAGACAGATGATAATTGGCCCTACCTACCCTAATGAAGCTAAGACCTTGGAAACCAGATGTACTGACAATACACAGGCATACGTGTTATGACTTGTAGGCTGACAATTGTGTCACCTTCCACTCAATTTTTGGGAACCAGGGCTCTAACTTCCCCTTTGCCTGACCCTCTGCTCTATAATTTGCCTAATAACTCCATTCTTCCCAGGCTGGCCTTGCCTCTGCCAACCCTCCCAGAAATTCTACATGCTGACAGACTTCACTGACTCCCAACTAAATGCCTGCTAGCATCTCTCCATTTACCTCCTCCCAGATTCTCCAACCCTGTATCTGTCCTGCCAGCCTACCTAGATACTCACTAGCTATTCTTCTCTGATGCCAGTCTCCAGATTTCTGTGCTCTGATATTTGAGCTCCCCAAACCTCTTAAGTGTAAAGAAGAAACCAAGTTCATAATCAGAAGACTGCTTGGAGGCTGAAATTGGTGGCCATCTAGAGGCTGAGGTCACTGAGGGCCCACCCTCATGGTCAGCCGCTCTGCATGACCTGCAGCAGTCTTCTGGATACCTTCTTTCTAGACATTCTGGAGAAACAGAAGATGCTTTGTGGCCTCCATCTGGTAGTTCTAGACACCACCATTTTTCTTCTCTCCACAATTCATGAGGTTCTAGTTCTAGTTTTCTTCTACTTTCAGTCATGCTTTGGCTAGATTAGCTCTTCATTTTAACTTCTTGTTCTTAATTTGTTTTATATTGGACAGTGTGACCTAAGAATTCTGCAAAGAACTAACATTATCAGTGTATATTTAACTGGTTATCAAGGGAGAAAAAGAGAGAGGGAAAGAATGACAAAGAAAGAGATTTCATTTCTGTGCCTTATTGTGCAGGTAATAGTGGTAGGAAGTACATTTTGTTCTCTGAAGGCTGAGACATTTCTGACTGTCATAGCTGAGGGGTGCTACTGTCAAATGGTAGCAGAGGCCAGGAATACTGCTAAATAGCCCACAATGCACAGGACAGCCCCACAACAAAAAATAATCACCCAGCCCAAAATGTCAGCAGTGTTAAAGGTTGAGAATCTCTGGATTACAGTATGTTCAAAAGGCCAAGGAACATTACATAACTACTTCTCACTTGGGCAGTTCACCTCAATTCTCTGAAATTATCTGATGATTTGGCTGACTTTGATGGTTAAGCTTCTGCTTGTGGGATAACACACACTCTCACCTTAAAGTTCAAAGAATTGCTCACTAACCAGTTACCCTTAATCACATGTGTATGAAAGAGCTGGCCCACATGACTAACAGACCATTTCTCACTGGGCACACAGTAAGGCTTGTTTAGGAGTTGTTGCCAACATCTGTGGTGTTTAGTGTGCTGAGAGACAGAAAAATGGCAGGAAGGAAAGTGGACGCAAAAATCTTACATGGAGTGAAATTCTACTAAGCTTATCATGCCTTAAAA